ATTGGTATTCTAATTTATCTCGCCATTTCGGCGGTGCATTGAGGACCTATTTGCACAAATCTACAATCACGGCTTCAAGGCAATACCCCTACAGCTTCCGGTGAGTCCAACCTACAAATCCCTTCAACTTGCCCATTCAAATGAAATAAAAGCTGCCCCAACATCAATCTATTAAAGGATTTTTCGAGACCTAGTTTTTCTACATTAGACTTTTTAAGCTTTGTGCAAGTGTTGGAACTCGTGCTATTGGTTAGAATCAAAACCAGTCGTATTGCATAAGAGAGGTTTTTCGAGAGTGATAATGAGTTTAATTGCATCCAATAAGTTGATTATGTAATTCCACCAAGCTTAGTTGGGATCTATTGGCATACATTTTTAGAAATATCATTCTTTTTTAATCTTATCTTTACTCTTTCATGTTCTTCTTCAATCCCAGACACTTCCAGCGCTTATTTGGAGCTTGATGAATCTCAATTGCTTACTGATTATGCCGAATTTTATGCCGACGTGTTTCAGGAGCTCGAGTCGCGCTGGGGCCTCGTTCAAGTACTGCGAACATGTAGAAATCTGTCGAGTCATCTGCGTGGTACGGTGCTTGTTGAATTTGCCAACCCATTGGATGTTTGTAAAGCCTCAAGGGGTCTGCATGGTCGTTGGTACGCTGGTCGGCGTCTGGAAACCAGGGTTGCTCGGCTCTGGGGTGGTTGGCGAGAGGCGATTTGTGGTACATCAATTGTTTTACCTTCCTACTTTATCTACTCCTTAATCCTGTCTTTCATTGATTCTTAGTTCATTATTTATTCAAACTTAGTGGAGTTTGTCTAATGAACTAATTATCTATTAATAGTATTTTTTCCAAGACTATTAAGATCTATTAGATGTATTCATTCTATTTCGTTTAAGCTGATGAAGGACCTTAAGCGAAATGGGGTAAATACATTTCATACAATTGACTTACTGGTGTTCTCGAGACCCTATTTATGAACGAAAAATAAGTAATGTAGTCGATTGCCATAAAAAATATAACTACTTCATTGGAAATCCCACCAAAGGATATGATATGGGAAAATTTTTGGCCTCGCTTGAAATTTACATCTGCTCTGTGACCTCAGGGCACTAGTGACACTGTAGCGTAGTTTATAACGTGTCGAGTTATATGCTGCACTATCATGGTTCGAGTCCCGATGAGGATGTTTATAAGACCTAGATGAGGTTGAGATTGCAGTCCACTCCAGCCGGGATAAGAATACTTTTTGGGAAAGCAAAACTATGCGAAATTTACTGGATACATCAGCTATACTCATATGATTGTGGGAAAAATCAACTATCAGTCCTTCACCTCTCATATAATTGATTCACTGGTAGCCTCTAAACCCTATTTATGAGCAAAAAATAATAAGATCTTCCTAGAGTAAAGTTACTTTTAAGTCTTCTTGATTTACACAGCTGACGACGAAATATAGATAATGTTTATATTCAATGATTACCTACTTCAAGAATCTCTGTCATTCTTGACTAAGAACTTTGGTAACCCTGGGTCGCTTAAGGTGATTTAAGGGCTGATAATGGCAGCTGCTTTAATGAACTGATTATACTTTGCGATGTCATTGCTTGGCTTTCCATAACACTAGGTTATTTTATCCAAGGTGAGATGAAGCTTCGATCAGTTCTTTCAACTGGACCCTAAACTTGATTTTGCGCGCACAGTTGCATTACGCTACTAATCCTCATCACAGTCACGGGTGCCAGAAGGTAACCGGTCAAATGGGACTTTCATAGAAAGTCTAATCAAAATTTCCGCTAAAATGTGATTTGGGAAAGACTTGGCCTGCATTGAAAGTCACATCTGTCCTGTGACTCATTTACATTCATAGCTATTTAGTTGAATGGTTATGTGCCGCCATTGTTTGTGTGCAATACAATTAGAATTCCTATAGAGGCTCTGATGACACCTATTTCAGGTCGGAAATGCAGCCCTCTATGGATGAGAAAACCACTTGTAAGTAAGGACAGTCTACTTCGATGACGTAGTGAGTCATATTCTTTACATTGTGGTAACTTCCACTATTAGTCCTTAAATCGCC